CTGTAAAAAAATCATTTCCAAATTCGTTCTCAATTGTTCCCAAAAATTCACACAATCCAATCGGCAATTCTGGAGAGTTAGAATTTTTCCCAATTGACTATGTAAGACTCTAACAATCTTTTAAAAGGTTAAAGGGATAATTCGAGGAAATGCCAAAAGCAAGAAATACATTTAAGATACTGAAGAAAATTTAGAGACAAAAAAACAAGTAATTTGGACAGGCAGAGAGTAAGAAATGCTCAACCAAAATTGATTCAAGATTCTGGACTTCTCTAGCAAGACTTTCTAGACCTTAAGCTTGTAAAATTTGTGCAAAGCAATTCTCATGTCCAAAAATTGAAAAACCACTCTTGAATGAAAACTAAGACATGTAGCTTTAATTTGAGTATGAACCAACTCGAAATTCCTCTTGAGTTATTCCCATATTAACTTTGAATTCAGCTAATACTAGGACCCAACTCACTTAAACTTTTCCCATTAAAAAAATATGCAAATTGGTCACTCTCACAAGTGCACAAGATTAATGTAGTAATAATCTCTCAGTATTCCAAAAGTCGAACCCAGAAGAAGATAGTGATCTTTTTTACTTATAAAACAAATGAGAGTTTTAAAAAGAATTTAACAACTAATTAAATAATGAAAATAAACAAGTGATTAACGATGAACATGATAAACCAACCAATCAGATAAGGGCCAGGAATCAAGATTCATCTATCAGGATGGATTATTCTAATTCAGTTAATTATCTTCCCTCATTTATAGTAACAATCATTTCTAATGTGTCCTAATTATCTTCCAATAAATTAGGATGTATTTAATTAGAGTTAAATCTAGCTATTAATAAATTCTTCTCTCTAACTAAACCATTGAGCTACACTTTAAGCCACAACATGTTCTTAAATTGTTCCTAATCTAATCATCTATGTCTATCTCTTTAGGTCTAGTTAAGTTCTTTCCTTTCAAGTCATCAAACTACCCATGAACATATTATATAGCATTCGTCCATGAGAAAAAAAAACAATTAAATTGAGAGAGATAAATGTAAATAAAACATAAATTCTCATAGATAAAAATTAATGTTCAATAATAAATAACTGAAACTAAATAAAGAACAAAATTCACCCTAATCTGGCTACTTCCTACCTTGATTGGAAGTTTAGTAGGAACTCATAAAGTCAAAACTACAATCCCAAATAAAAGACATAAAAATAATATAAAGAAGAAAGAAGAGAGAAAGCTCCTAGCTTGAAAGACTCTTCTAGACTGTGTAATATGCCTCCTAGTCTTCAGATATGAGATTAGATGTTTTGAGAGGATTTTGGGAGGTTTATTTACAATAAATTCAACCCCATTAGAATCTGTCCACATCATGCCTTATCTTATTAGATATGCTGATATATATTTTAAAATAATTTGAAATATTAATTTTTTCTCTCTTTTTATTTTGTTTGCGTGTGGTCGAGCTTAGTTTTGCCATATCCACACGTAGAAAAAATTTCATCCGTGAGCAGATGAAATGTACACAAACTCGTTCATGATCGGATGAACTGAATACATGCAGAATCACTTGTGTGAGATACATCCACGAGAGGAGACAGCCTTAACAAGATTCCGCAACCGGTTGAACTCTTTTTGGCCTTATTCTTTGGTCATTAACTCTAGGCTTCATGTTTTAAGGCCTTTTTCATGCTATTTTATCTCATTTTCCTGAAAATGCATCAAAATCTTCAAGTGAGGTATTTTATTTCATTTTATCTTCAAATTACACATTAATTAGTCAAAATAAGCATATAAATTTTATATAAATCTATGTAAAATATCCCCTTATTACAAATCATTAGATTTATAATTGTAACTAGGTGGAGGGCCACATTATTCTCCAAGATATCCATATTGTCGCTACCTAAGGAATCACATGCATAGCCATGAAATCTTCACTAGAATTAACTCTGAGACCCTTAAGCTGCACGTGCTGACACCATGAATATCATGTGGCTCAGGGGAACTCAACTTTTTTATCCATTCTTGTCTCATGATTGATCACATTATTTTAGGGTGTAATTTTTTTGCCCTTGCTCTTATAAATTAGCATATGACCCTTTCAACCTTTTTATTTCTTTTTTGATTTTTTTTTAATTTGAGGGACCGGACAAGTACTAAAGCTTGAAATTATTACAAGCAAAATTGAACCCGTAACCTTCCACTTACATAGAAATTAAACTTACATGCTATTAGGTTACAAGATCATTGAGCCTTATTCACATTGTCAGGTACGCCATAATGCTACGCCAGCAATATCCTCCTTAGAATATATTTGCCAAGACATCAAAACATGAGCCATTCCCACCATTACCTCTAACAACACAATTTACATCCTTTTTTTTTCTTGTCCTTTGTGGTTTTTACACTTTTTATTATTTAAATCATAAAATATTAAAATTACAAAATTTTATTGAATTTTAATTTCTTTGAAAAATAATAAAAAATATAAAAATCTGTCATTTTTTAGATTCAAGATAACAGAAATACAGAATATCTCTTATGTTATGTAGAAATCAACGATTAAAAAAAATTCAAAACTTAGGGCATTATAAAGGACATTAGAAGGAGTGACATAAAAGGCCCCAAGCCCCTTGATTGTATAGAAAATAATTCTTCATTTTGCACAAATTTCAGTTTCAAAAATAAAGTTTTAATTTGAAACCCAGAAGTAGCTCTACATCTGAAAATTTTGAAATCTATGTTCCACTGATCCATGTGAAATGGAATTACAACACGTCAAAAAGAATTATTAAATTCTGGAATATATTTTTGTTATATGATTTTGGCTATTTCAGGAATAAATCATTAGAATAAGCTCTCGGTGGGTTCGAAATTTTAATGCACAAAAAGGTTTAAGTTTTTTTATTTAAAATATGTGTTATCGCTGGCTCTTATAAATTTTTAATGTTTGATAATTTTTTGGCTACTAGAATACTTATTTAAAATTTCTTTATACTCAAGGAAGCTTTCACAATTAAAATTTCATATTTATATTCCTAAAATGGAAGCATTTGCTCTTCACATTTCTTGAGGGGAATTTTTTGCAGCGCTTGAAATTTTTTTAATGTGAAATTTAATGACCTGAAGAACATAAATCGACTTTTAATCATGTTTGAAACTCAACATTTCAATCTCAAGTGATTAGTAGTGAATTTTTTTTATCGAAAAATATGGCTTTTGGCTATTTTTTGTTTGGTTGTCTTTGGTATCCATATTATATTAATAAATGATTTTATACTTTTAAAATCATTTATTTACTTCTTCTCATTTATATACTTTTCTTTTCACAATTCTTTCACTGTACTTTCTAGATCATAATATAAGTCGTTGTTAACTAATTTAAGTATCTAAAAAGTTGGTTAAGATCTTATTTTTTAAAAAATGTTCACATCCTTTCAATCTTGCCCTATAGTATAATAAATATAACATTTGAATTATTCAAAATATCATCATTAATTACTCAACAAAATAAGGGTGTAATTGAACAAACTGTCTAACAGCTCAATGCCCTATATTTTGAATCGAGCAAAGTTTTTAGAGAATAACTAATTATATTGTGGTTCTAAGAAAGTACTTATTTCCGAAATATTACATGAGTAGTATGTAAAAAGGTCTCATTCTTTGAATATGGATCAGATTCTCTGTAACTTTTATTTTAACTTTTTTTGTTTATGACTCTTTATTAATGAAAAAAGACACAAAGCAAGTTTATTTTAAAGGCCATATATAGTCTTTATCACCTGGCATTTCAATATTTCAATATCTTCAATTGTCATTAATGTCTTTCCAAGATTTATAATTATGATTTTCTCTTAATGCAATCTTTTAGTCTTTTAATGTCGTTCCCCCTCGCTTATAAACATTGTGAAATAATTAATCACAATTAATTAATAGAAAATCTATCAATAGCCAATAATAGTTGAAATTGAATAAAGTGAATTTATTATCCTTTAATAAATAAATCAAAAGTTGGAATATTGTAATTGTAAATATAAAAACTTATGTTAGAAAAGCTACCTATTCATGCTCAATAGTAACATAATATGAATTGATCAACAATGTACATTTATGCGACAGGTTACAATATTATATACCAAATAATTGTTGAACAAAATCTATGAATAAAATACATTGTTTGTTTAAATAAATAACATGCATAAATGATAACATTTTATTATAGACATTACAAATAAAATTATAACTCAAGATTTTTCAAGTTAAAAAACTATATTGAAACAAAAAAAAATTTACATTTAGTCCTTATAATTTAATTAAAGATTCAATTTGTTTTTTACATTTAAAATTTTAATTAAATATTTATACATTATAAATTGTTTAACATAGTCCATTTTGATATTACTATTCTTCGTTATATTTTATTGGTATAACATCGTGTGTGTGTGTGTTATCATAATACATTTAATATGTTTAATGATGAAAGTTCAAAAAATATAAATTAAACAATATATGTCATATTTATGGCAAAATGTTTACTAAAATATAATATTAAAATTGGATTAAAATTTATTTTATCTATAAATATGTAAGTAAAGTTTTTAAAATTTTAAGTGTCAATTTAAAAATCGAGTGAAATTAAAAATATGGAAAAAATATACTCTTTAAAAGAATTTAAATTTTGAAATTATTGAAAAAAAGAGTTTAGGGCTGAAAGTTTAAGCTACTTGGGAAAAATAACAATTTAGAAATCTAAAAGTTATTTTCCCGGAAATCCTCCAAAGTAATTCTAAAAGTTATTTTTGATTATCAATTCTTAACTCTGACGTTTTTTTTTTTTTTTAATCTGCAACTCTAACGTTTTATTACTCAATGAAATTAGGTGCTTTACATTTACATATTAAGTTTATTGTTTTTAGTTTTATCCGTCGATGTAGGCTCAGATAAAGCCTATAAATAGAAAACATAATGGGAGAGATAGAATCGAGTACGAAGGAAATTAAATGGCCTCTCCCAAGAAATATTGTTGCTTCCTCTTTGCTTCTGTTTTAGCTATCAGCATCTTCTTCAACAATGGGATCGCCATTGAAGAAGAAACAAAGGCCACAGAAACCGAATCATGGCTCACCGTTTCTCTCTCCTCTCTCTTGCCATCACAAACTTGCACACCTTTTACTGGTTCTATATCATCTCTCTCTCTCCCCTCCCCCCACTCTAGCAGAGCATAAAAATTCCAATAAACCAATTTGGTTGAACTGGCAAACTGTTAAACTAATGTCTTGACTAATTTGATCGTGGTTTGGCTATGGTTTTGACTATTAATCTTTGAACTAATATCTTGATTAGTTTAATGATGATCAGTCTAATTTTCAGTACATTTACTAATGAGTCACAATGTTCCTAGATCATGAAATTGTGAACTTATTAGAGTTTTTATTATGTATATATAGATATTTCATATGTTATATATTTTTCAACTCTCTCCCCTAAAGCATTTTTATTTGGTATTTGTAGATGTGTGTTCCCTCATGTTTGCACCCTTGTGCACATTCTTCTAACTTCTTACATAAATTTAGTTGTAATATTATGAATTTGAATTATCTCTATGTCTGTTGTTCAATATGCGATATTCAAAAAGGATAATAAAAGGAAAGGAAAAGGAATAATACTCTTGTCAAGTCAAATTTATTACTTGTCTTTCACTCTATTGAACGATCTAATCATGGAAAAGGAATAATACTCTTGTCAAGTAAAATGTTTTCTCCAGACATCTGATGATATTCTTAAGTCAACAGCAGTTTATAAAAGAGATCAATCTTCTCTAATCTATCCATTAAAATAACCTGACATTGACCATAGAACTTAATAGATTGGAGAAAGTTGGCTTTTTTTGTAAAGTTAATAAATATCTATGTACCATTATATTATTGACAATCAGTATATATAACATAATTTGATACAACTGATTAGGTTTGAAGAAGAATTCAAGCTTGGAAGTGATACAAAGACATGGGCCATGTAGTGAACTAAAGCATGGGAAAGCAAATCCTAAAACTACTCCAACACACTTTGATATCCTAAGTGAAGATCAAGCAAGGGTGGATTCAATTCACTCCAAGCTCTCTGAAAGCTTCGACCATGGAAACATGAAGCAATTGGATTCTGCAAATATACCGGTACGCTCTGGCATGCCGTTGAACACCGCCAGCTATATTGTCACCATTGGATTCGGCAGCCCTAAAACGGACTTGTCGCTTGCTTTTGATACGGGAAGTTATTTAACCTGGACTCAGTGCACGCCATGTCTTGTGAAGTGTTACAATCAACAAGAACCAATCTTTGATCCCTCTAAGTCCACAACTTATTCCCGGATATTCCAGTGCGGTGCTTCTAAGTGCAATGAGATTTTTTCTACTGCAAGTAAATTAACTTATCCTTATTCTTTTTTCATGAGAAAAATATGTCTATGAATATTCTCACTCAATTTCATATAAATATATATGGGGTAAGAATAAGATCTAATTTTTTCAAAAATTAGTATGTATTTTTCATTCATTTTAAATTTACCTTATTTCAATAAAGTCATAGTTCTGTTATGCGAAATATAAGTATTGATTCCAGAAAAATCATAATTTATTTAACAATTTACTTACCATTGCCATATTTTATTAAGCAAACTGACAACTCTACTCATTAGGGGGAAATTAATATAGTATGTAAGCTTGTTGGAAGAAGTTTGGAGCTAATTTTTTTAGAAATAATGACAATTAAATTTCAAAAGATTGAATTAATTAATAATAGTTATGTTTCCTATAAAAAATTTTCAAACATAGATTTAAAATATTGAGCAAATAATTACATATTTAAGAGTTTCAATTTATAAGTAACGCATTTAAAAATATAACTCTTATATTGAAATTAAGATTTATGTTTGTAATTATGTACATTTATATTTGTAACTTATTTTTAAAGGAAATTTTATCAAAGACCTACTTGTTATTAATTGAATCTTTTAGGACCTAAAATTTCACGTTAACAAATATGTAAGTAAAAAAGGCGACTTACATTAGTTTCATATAAACATAGTTACATTACATACATATTCATAGGTTTGAGGGGTGAATAATTTTCTCATAATCTTTTATTAGAAAATTAATGTCATACAACTAAATATGTTTCTTCAATTGAGGGGTGCTTGATTGATATAGGGAGCTGAATAAGCCTATTTCAGGATCTTGAATTTGAAAGAATATCGAGTAATGGAATACAGTGTATATATATATGTTTTTTTTTCATAACACATGATGTTTAAATTATTTTAAAAGGATAAACATTTAAATAATTTATTTTTAATGATATAATATAATGATAAATATGAATATAGAAAGTAAGAAAAATAATGCTCAGTTATCTATTAATTAGCTATAGTCTTTATTGAGATAACCTTGTCTTGTTTTTCTTTTATCCACAAGAATATCAAGAATGTGCTAATCCTGATTACGGCGACACATGCATATATACGGTCAAATACGCCAACACTGATTTCTCCATCGGCTTTCTCAGCAAAGACAGGCTCACCATCACCGCCGGTGACACCTTTGACAACTTCTTGTTTGGTTGTGGTCAAAACAACTTAGGGGATGCCCTTGGCCGCACCGCCGGCAAACTTGGCCTCGGCCGCCACCCGATCTCCTTCGTCCAACAAACAGCCACGACCTATGACAAAGTCTTCTCCTATTGTCTCCCCTCCACCACAAGCTCCTTCGGCCACCTCACCTTCGGCAGCGACGGAGTTCGCAAAAATGTTCAATACACTCCGATCACCACCGTCCCCAACCTTACCTCATTCTACGGTATCAGCGTCAATGGAATCACCGTCGGTGGAATAGAACTATCATCCGTTGCTTCTACGCTCTCGTCAGCCAGCGCAGTCATCGACGTTAGCACACTCATCACAAGGCTGCCGCCGTCAGTTTACGCTGCCCTGAGATCGGAGTTCCGACAACAGATGACGATGTATCCCATGGCAAGCGAGATATCGATACTGGACACATGTTATGATTTGAGCGGGTACAATGACGGGACAGTGATGATTCCAAAGATAAGCTTGGAGTTTGGTGACAAGGTCAAGCTAGACTTGGACGTGAGTGGGATCGTTTTTGTTGTAAGTACCAAACAAGTGTGTTTGGCTTTTGCTGCGAATGAGAGAGAAGATGATGTTCTTATACTTGGAAGTGTTCAACAGAAGACGATAGATGTGGTTTTTGATCTTAATGCAGAAAGGCTTGGATTTGGTCCTGCTGGCTGCATGTGAGACCGAGTTAGGTATAGTAAAAAGGATTAATATCTCATAACGTTGTGAATTAATGTTCAAATTCTTATTAAAAAGATACTTACATTTAATTTAGTGTTTAATCATGTCTTGAACATGATTATTCCTACAAAGAAGATACATGTGCGTGTCTATATATATAATAAAAAAAAACCATAAGTGACATATGGTTGATGAATAGTTTAATTTTCTGTGATTTATATTTTATGTTGATTATGATTTCATATATTGATGAAATTATATAAATTGACATGAAAGATCTATTTAGCTTTACAAGAAAGTAAAATAATTCATTAAAAAACTCATAACAATTATGAAGCCATACTCGCAAACATTTTGTTTGTTGATCCAAAATCAAACTCTCCATGTAATCTTCCACAAAAACAAGATAACATTCCCTAGTTTTAAACGAATCTTCGCCATGAAGAATTATATATAATACTCCATGCTTCAGAACATTTCATAATTAACCCAAGGTAGCCAGTGAATGTATAAATATTAGAACATGTATGGTGTCTCTAAAGAGACCACCACAACTAGAAGAGCCATCCGTATTCAGTTTGCAAGAGGGGAGGAAAGGATCATACCAAAAAAGAAAAAAAAAGGGGGGGGGGATTATATTGTGTCCTCGAGGGGGGAGTTTGGGATGCGCCACGCTGCAAAAAGTAATTTTTATTATACTAATTTGCGTCACTTTTTTTTTTTTAAAGGAAGAATTTCATTATAGGACCAAGAATGTCAAGTTACAAGATAATGCTATTCATGCAACAACCTCCTCCTTAATATATGAAAGGACATCAGTACATGAGCCATTACCTCTAACAACAACATGCATGTTTATATCCTGGCTTTTTCTTGGCCTTTGTGGTTTTTACACTGTTTATTAAAATCATAAAATATTAAAATTATAAAAAAATTATTGTATTTTAATTTATTTGAAAAATTATTAAAAAAATATATAACTCTTCCGTTAATTTGGGATTCAAGTTTTCATAATGTCTCTTATTTTACGTATAAATCAATGATCCAAAAAAATTGAAAAATTAAGGCATTACAAAGGATATTAGAAGAAAGCATATAAGAGGCCCCAAGCTCCTTGATTTTAGAGAAAATACTTCTTCACTTTTCCCAAATTTTAGTTTCAAAAATCAAGTTTGAATTTGAAACCCCATAAGTAGCTCTATATCTGAAAATTTTGAAATCTATGTTCCTCTGATCCATTTTAAATGGAATTATGAAACGTTAAAATGAATTATTACTGGAATATATTTTTGTTATATGGTTTTGGCGATTTCAGGAAGTAAATAACTAAAATAAGCTCTCGGCGGGTCCGAAATTTTAACACAACAAAAAGTTTGAGATGTTACTTAAAATATACCAGGCTCTTATAAATTTTTAAGTTTTGATAAATTTTTGGCTTCTTGAATACTTATTTAAAATTTCTTTATTCTCAAGGAAGCTTTAACAAATTAAAATTTCATATTTTATATTCCTAAAATCAAAACATTTCCTCTTCACATTTCTTGGGGTGAATTTTTTGCAACGCTTAAAATATTTTAGCATGAATTTAATGACATGAAGGACAAAAATCAACTTTAACTAATATTTTTGGCAATTTTTTATTTGGTAGTCTTTTGTATCCACATTATATTAATAAATGATTTTGTACCTTTTAAATCATTTGTATACTTTTCTTTTCACTTTCTTTAACATCCGAATCATAATATAAGTTAATGTTAACAAATTTACGTCTCTACAATTGAAAATGTTGGTTAAGATTTTGATTTTCTAAAAAGAAATTCACATCTTTTTAATTGTGCCCTTGAGTATGATAAATATAACATTTGACTTATTCAAAATACCATTATTAATTACTCAATAAAGTAAAGGTATAATTGAAAAAAATATATAACACCTCAATGTCCTATATTTTGAATTAAGTTTTTAAAAAATATCTTATATTATAGTCTAAAGGGGCATTTAAATTATTATTACTAAAATATTATATGAGTAGTATGTAAAAATCTCTTGCGCTTGGAATATGGATCAGATTCTCTGTAACTTTTATTTTTTATTTTTTGTTTATGACTCTTTGTTAATGTAGAAAGACACAAGGCAAGGTTATTTTAAAGACACTGTCTTCATCTGGCTTTTCAACTTTTCAAAATTTTTCTATTGTTATCAATGTCTTTTCATGGTTTATAATTATCATTTTCTCTTTATACTATCTTTTGTAGTCCTTTAATGTCATTCCCCCTAACTTATAACCATTATGAAATAAATAATCAAACTAATAGAAAAGCTCTTAATAGCCAATAATGGTTGAAATTGGATGGAATGGATTTGTTATCTTTATATAAGATCAAAAGTTGGAATACAGTAAATAAATAAATAAAAACCTATGTTAGAAAGGCTAAATATTCAAGCTCAATAGTAATTTTTTTGGGACAAAGCTCAATAGTAATTTAATATGAATTGATTTACATATATTATACATTTATGCGATAGGTTGCAATATTATATACCAAATAATTGTTGATGAACAAAATCTATAAATAAAATATATTACTTGTTTAAATCAATGAGATGAAAAAATATATCCTAAGATTTCAAGTTAAAAAACTATATTGAAACAATAAAAAAATACATTTAGTCCTTATAATTTAATTGAATATTCAATTTGTTTTTTACATTTAAAATTTTAATGAAATATTCATAATTTATGAATTGTTTAATTTAGTCCCTTTTGATATAACTTTTCTTTGCTACATTTTATTGGCATAACATCACATATATATATATATGTATGTATGTATATAGTATATCTTAATACATTTAATATGTATACTAGAGAAAATTCTCAGGTAGACCGGCTCCACCACATTATTTGTGTTTTGTCCAATAAAAATATGACATTTAAATGATATTAAATATAAATTAATTTTGATATTAATGATAATAGAGAGAGAAAAAGGCAAGAAATCAAATTTACATTATGTTATAACAATAAAATCAATTAAAAACATGTCATACAAGATTTTATTTAGATTACTAGGAGTATTTTAATTGGACAGAGCACAAATGACGTGATGCATCTGATCTAATTAAGTATTTATTTGTATACTGATGAAAGAAAGTAAGTTATTTTAGGTTATAAATACTTAACTCTAATGTTTTATTCCTCCAAGGTATGATTATATGCTTATATATATATATATATATATCTTACTTTTTTTATCCATTGCCTATAAATGGAAAACATATAGGAGAAGAGATAGAATGGAGTACTAATTAAGGAAATGGCCTCTCAAAAGAAATATTGTTTGCTCTTAGCATCTGTTTTAGCAATTAGCATCTTCTTCAACAATGGAACCGCCATTGAAGAAGAAACAGACGCCACAGGAAGCAACCCATGGCTAACCGTTTCTCTCTCTTCTCTCTTGCCATCACATACTTGCACACCATTCACAGGTTCTGTATATCCTCTCTCTCTCTCTCTCTCTCTCTCTCTATATATATATATATATCTAATTAGCAAAGTATAAAAATTTGGTTAATCCACCTAGTTAAACTGGTAAACTGTTAAACTAGTGTTTTGACCGGTTTAATGAAATAATTTGTTTATTATCGATTTTATGACAGTTCGACTATGTGTATATAGATATTTCATAGGTTATATATTTTCCATCTCTCCCCCGGCGCTAAATCATTTTTTTTATATATTTGTAGATATGTGTGCCCGCATGTGTGCACCCTTGTGCACATTCTTCTAATTTCATACAAATATTTAGTTGTAAATTATGAATATCAATTATCTCTATGTTTGTGGTTAAATATGCATGTGATCTTCGAAAGATGATAAAAAGAAAAGAAAAGGAATAATATTCTTGTCAAGTAAAATTTATTACTTGTCTTTCACTCTCTTGAACGATCTAATTATGGAGAAGATCTAGTGTGTGTGTGTGTGTAGTTATAACATGTGACTTATGATTATAGTACTAATTAATTTTAATTTACGATTATGTCTAATGATAACTTCAAGTTTCAAAATTTATGTTAAATATTTATAGTATTTTTCTGTCATTGGATTTATATATACAATGGCTTTGGTATATATTCCTTCCCATCCAAAATCTAAGCATTTTACTCTTGTAATTTTTAATCTAGATTCATGTGTTTGAGAATTTATATCCTTCTTTTTACTCATCATAAATTAGAAGTAAGGGTAAAATGATAAAAAAAATGATATTTATTTTCATGAAAAAAAAAGATTTCATTGGCCTACAAAATATTGTTAGAAACTCCTTACATATATATATATATATATATATATATTAACAAAGGGATCATATACTTTAGCCTTGAATGCTTCGTACTCGAAATAAGCCTAGAAGTGATCGCTTTTATAGATCAATTTGTATAATGTAGTTCGATACACAAATGATCAGGTTTGAAGAAGAATTCAAGCTTGGAAGTAATACAAAGACACGGGCCATGTAGTGAACTAAAGCATGGGAAAGCAAATCCTAAAACTATTCCAACACACTTTGATATCCTAACTGAAGATCAAGCAAGGGTGGCTTCAATCCACTCTATGCTCTCTATCAGAAGGTTCAACCGTGGAAACATGAAGCAATTGGATTCTACAAATATACCAGTAAAGTCTGGCCTACCCATTAACACAGGTGGCTACATTGTCACTGTTGGCTTGGGTAGCCCTAAAACGAACTTATCGCTCATTGTTGATACGGGAAGTGATCTCACCTGGACTCAGTGCAAGCCTTGTATGGTGAAGTGTTACAACCAACAAGAACCAATCTTTGATCCATCTAAGTCCACAACTTATTCACAGATCAAGTGTAGTAGTTCTTCTATGTGTAATCAGATTTTGTCTACTGCAAGTAAGTTAACTAATAATCCTTTTTTTTTTCCCTTCATGAAAGAATTAAGCTATATATGCATATTCTCACGCATTTTCATATAAAAATGGGGCTAAGAATAACATCTAATGGACTTTTTTATAATTTTTATTAATCGAAGTCTGGAAAGGTGTTATTTTTATATTTTGAAAATTAACTATACATGTCTCTCGACTATGTTTTAATTGGAAGTTAAAATATTGTTGATATATAAATCATTCTTTTTTTTTCCTTTGAGATAAACTATATTGTTCGGAATTTTTCACGAAACCCCCAACAGTCACACACACCAAATATTTTTTTTTTAAATGAATCAAATGCAAACCTACGCAGACACTATTATACTCCCTCCAATAAAAAATGTAAAGCATTTTTTAAGGAGTTGGATGTTAAAAAATATAAGACATTTTTAGTTTTTTGAGGAGTAATCATTGTCTTTTTTTAAAAGTGCCCCTATTGATAATGACTTTATATTTATTGTAGGGTATTTAATAGAGGTAAATATGAAAAGATAGGATTAGTTGAAAATTAAGTAACTACTTTATTTGGGGTAAGATTTAGTTAAAAATACCTTACATTTTTTAACGAAGGAAGTACATGTTTTGTACAGTTAATTTTTTTTTTAATAACTTATGCACTGCTACTGCCTACGTAGTCCTTTTTATAATAAATTAACAGTAATTTTACATAAATTATTAAAATTAGTTATTTCCTGTGAATTTTAGAAATTACTATCTATACAAATCATTAGTTAGAGTTTGGTTAATTAATTAGGAAGTTTTATAGTTTGTTAGGAATATTATGCGGAAAAAATTAACACTTTAAACAAAGTATATTATATTAGGAAACATGCTAGAATTTCTTATAAATAGGCTGTATCTTTATTTTTATTATTATATTGTATGGAGTTAAAATTGTTAATCATTGTTAGTTTAGCTATTATTCTTTTGTTTCAGAAATTATTATTATTTTTTATTCATTTCAAATTTACCATATTTCAATAAAATACTGATTCCACAAAATTAAAACTATTTCATTTCACCACTTTTATTAATTATTATACTTGTAAGAATAACTTCATAATTTACTTAAAACTTTACTTATCGTTGCCATACTATATATGCAAACTGCTAACTCTATTTTTTTTTTTTTTGGGGGGGGGGCCAGAAACTGCTAACTCCATTGATCAAAGGAAAAAGTTAGTATGATATGTTTGTCACGAGCTATCAAAATAGATGTCAGCGTGTTGGAAGAAATTGAAGCTGAAAATTTTACGGTTAATAGATAAATAGGGTGACCTACATTTTTTTTTTCATTTTTTCATACATACATATACATATACAAGCGTATTAAGAGAAGCTAACAAAAATTTTATTAAAGAATTATTTTATATAATTAAATAATTTATTTTCATAATCTATGTAATATAATGATAAATGTGAATATAAAAAGTAAGAAAAATATGAGATATTCTTGCATAGACTTGTTGCACCACCTCATCCATACTTTATCCAATAAAAATATGCCATATCAGATTATTGTAAATGTAAATTGATTCTACCATTGATTATGATAGATAGAGAAAAGATAAGAAATTAAATAAACACTCTATTTTAAAAATGAAGTCATTAAAAATAATAACACATAATATTTTATTTAAATGAACCAATGTAACATGGTCTGTACTAAAAAAATTTCGAGAAATAGTGCTTAATTATGCATTAATATTTATTTATTTTTTCACATAACCTAGTTTTTTTCCCCCTATCTAGGTGATCAAGAATGTGCTGAATCTAATTCTGCGGGAACGTGCATATATGAGACTAGGTACATGGACAAGTCTTTCTCCGTCGGCTTTCTTAGCAAAGAGAGGCTCACCATTGCCGCCGATAACACCTTTGACAACTTCTTGTTTGGTTGTGGCCAAAATAACTTAGGGATTCTCTTTGGTGGCGCCGCCGGCTTACTTGGCCTCGGCCGTCAGCCGATTTCCGTCGTCCAACAAACAGCCAAGGCCTATAACAAAGTCTTCTCCTATTGTCTACCCTCCACCCCTAGCGACATCGGCCACCTCACCTTCGGCAGCGACGGAGTTTCCAATAATGTCCAATACACTCCGATCACCACCATCCCCAACTTAACCTCGTTCTATAGCATCAACATCACCGGAATCGTCGTTGATGGAACAAACCTATCTTCCATAACTTCTACACTATCGTCGGCCAAAGCAATCATCGACATCGGGACATTCATCACAAGGCTTCCGCCGTCAGTTTACACTGCCTTGAGATCGGAGATCCAGCGAAGGATGGCGATGTATCCGATGGTGAGCAAACTTGAGATACTGGACACGTGTTATGATTTGAGTGGGTACAAGACTGTGACAATTCCAAAGATGAGCTTGGTGTTTGGCGGCGAGGTTAAGCTAGACTTGGACGCGAGTGGGATCTTTTTTGCTGTGAGTCCCAAACAGGTGTGTTTGGCTTTTGCTGCGAATGAGATAGTGGAGGATCTTATTATACTTGGAAGTGTTCAGCAAAAGACAATAGAGGTGGTGACCGATCTTAATGCTGAAAGGCTTGGATTTTCTCCTGCTGGCTGCAAGTAAGACAAGTCACATAAGACATAACTATTGAAATGATGAGGCTAAATCATATATTTAATATTTACAATTTCAAATGGTGTTTTACTAAGTGTCCGTTTGATTTTTCATTTGTTATTGTTAGTTTGTCAAGAGTTTATTTAAGAAAAATAAATTATTACAATAGAATTTGTGTTTGGGTATTTTTTTCCCCAAAAAATTAGTTCATTAAATTGAAAGTTATTTAAATGATATATAATGAAAAGTACTTTCAAATATATAATTACTAATTTTTGTTTACAAATACAATATATATTTGAAATGTTTGAAAAATACTATATGTAATAAAAATTTAAAGTAATATAAAAGTTGATATGGTGAATAATATATATACATATATATAATAAAAGCATGTATAAATAATATAAAATTTTATATGTAGAATAATATGTATAATAAAAATTATATAAATACTTGTATGGCATTCAAAAAAAAATTAAACATGAATAATTAATTAGGAGTAAAATGGGAAGAAAGGTATTTAAAAATTTAGCTACCAATTTCAAAAGCCAAAAGTTAAACTCAAAAATAATTTTCAAGATCTATTTTTTAAAAAAAGATATTTTTTTCAGGAAATAAATGTCAAGAAAGTATAATAATTCATTCAAAAACTCATAACAATGAGTCATTATTGACTATTTGTTTCACTAATGGTGAAACCAAGTGATACTATTTTCGAATAGCACTAAAATTAATAAAAAGATTTTACAATAAAACGCAACCTATGCATCTTCCTAAGGGTGAATAGATTAACTATTTAAATTAGGATTATAAAAAGTAAAATAATGAGGAGATATTTTTAATGACAAAATTAATTTTAAAAAACTAAATTAAAATTAAATAATTAAAGTAAGCTCAATTGAAAAAATTACCAAGTACAAATAATATAATCAATCACAACCTAATCACCTAAACTTAATCTTCCTCATCCACAAAATAAATTAATTTTATTTAACTTTATTATTCTAATTTTATTATATATTTTTTAAATTATCATTCAAGAATTAAACAAAAAATTAAGTTATAAATTAATTGAAATCTTTCTCAACCTACAACATAACAACTATTTCTATATTAATCATATTAGAAACAAAGCATAAATAATCATCCAAGCCAAGTCAAATCACTCTTATATTACTATATCAATCGATTATAGCAAGCAAAATTACAGATAAAATTTATAGCCCAACAATCATGCAATAAATTTACTTTGATCAGTAATAGTAATTAAAGTATAAAATTTAGAGATAGAGACAAGAAGAGTAAATTAAAATAAAATTAAAATAAAATCTTACTTGAATATCAAAAACTCTTATTAAAGTTTGAAAACATAGTTTGTAATTAATCACAATAAGAAAATTAGCTCTTCATAAGACTGAAAAGCAATCGCCCTTGCATGCGACTTTGCGTGCGCGCCTCTGCCGTCCGCTTCCTGTTTCTATTCCTCCTCTTGATTAAAAAGTCATGTCGTGCATCCTCTGTTCCTTCCATTATATATAGAAAGTGATGCGTCTCCTCAAAAAATAAAACCTAATAATTTAATAAAATGACAAAACTATCTTAAATAACTCTAATTGAAAACTACACTAAAAATCTCAAAATAAATATAAACAAAGTTTCTGCAATTTAATTCTTAACTTGGTCTCCAAGCATGCCTATAGTCTTCTATCCAAAATAATCTCCATCAATATCTTTCAAATTAAATCTAGAAACTTTGTACAAATAAAATAAAATTAAATAGCAAATGTGTAAAAATATCAAAGATATTATTTATACCTTAAAATTCAAGATTTAGTTGGTTAAAATTCCAAAGTAGAAGATTGGCTAATGAATCAAATAATATTCGGTTAAACCCAATTAGTCTCAAATAAATATTTAAAAGTCTAAATTAAAAAGATAAAAATATATAAAATTATCATCGCTACAAAAAAAATGACTTTCAGCGGTGACTTTCAGCAGCAACACTAAAAGTCACCGCTGATTCTCAACTTTTAGTGCGCGACAGTAAAAGTCACCACTAAAAGTATGACTTTCTGCGACGACATTTGAAGTCGCCGCTAAAATAGTGACTTTCTGCAATAACTTTTATTGTCACCACTGAAAGTTGAGAATCAGCGGCGACTGTTTAGTGTCGCCACCGATTGTCAACATATTTTAAAATATGTTATAATTTGTAAAAAAAATTATGTTATAAGTTTCAGCAGCGACATACAAGTCACCACTGAAAGTTGAGAATTAGCAGCAACATTTTAGTGTCACCGTTGATTGTCAACATATTTTAAAATATGTTATAATTTTTTTAAAAAAATTATGTTGTAAGTTTCAGGAGCGACATACAAGTCGCTGCTGAAAGTTGAGAATCAGCGGCAACTTTTTAGTGTCACCATTGATTGTCAACATATTTTAAAATATATTATAATTTATGAAAAAATTATGCTGTAAGTTTCAATGACAACTTGTATGTCGTCGCTAAAAGTTGAGAATCAGCGGTGACTTTTTAATGTCGCTGCTGATTGTCAACATATTTTAAAATATGTCATAATTTTTTTAAAAAAATTATGTTGTAAGTTTTAGCGGCGACATGTAAATCACTACTGATAGTTGAGAATCAGCGGTGACTTTTTAGTATCTTCACTGATTATCAACATATTTTAAAATATGTTATAATTTGTAAAAAAAATTATGTTGTAAGTTTCAGCGATGACATACAAGTCACCGCTGAAAGTTGAGAATCAACGGCGACTTTTTAGTGTTGTCGCTGATTGTCAACATACTAATGAGCTAAAGTAAAAAATTAAGACAAACCATATTATTTTATGTGTGGGTTTGTATTAAAAAAATTTACAACTAAGGTTAAGATTCAACCGAGGTTAGCAAACTAAAGTTAGAAGAAAAGTCAGTAAATGTGATATGATTTATGTTTGGATATTTTTTTTTTTTGAAGTATGTTAGATAAACTAAAATTTATTTGGATAATTTTATTCAAAAGCCAGTTGAGATGTTTAATGGCTAAAATAAGCATCAAATTTTTAACATATATTTTTTGACTAATTAATAACTAAAACAAATTAAATTTAAAACTATAACTAATAAGTAAAAAATTTTAAATATTCAAGATAGAAGAGAAGAGAGAGAAAGCATAAGTCATCGGATCAATATAGAAGTCAATAACACTACTTGTTTATAATAATTAAACATGTGATACTTAAATTTATTCATTCATAGAATGATATTTCATCTAATCTAATTTTTCAATTTAAATTCTACATTTAATACCAGTAACTTTAAAGCTTGATGCTAGTTTAAAAACATAAATAATTATAAACTAATGTATAATCATTAGTATTTTTTCTATTTATTCTTAGATATTTTTATATTATAATTATAAATATGAATATTAAAATAAATAATATAACAACCTCAAGAAGTAAAAAAATTAAAATAAATAATAACAATGATATTGTATCAATTATATTTATACTTTACTTTAAACAAAATAAATAATATAATTTGTAATTTTATAAATTAAAAGAATTAAATTGAAGTATTTAAGGATAGTAATGATATTTTATAATACTTAATGTTTAATATATGTGTGTGTTTGTAGTTTAATAATATGTGTGTGTGTGTGTGTGTATATTTAATTATGAAATAGACTGCAAGTTCATTCTAGCTCAATAGCAATATGGTTGGATGCAAAAGGAGGAGGTTATGGGTTCAAACCTTGAAGAAGACAATTTTTAAAATGAAAATATAAACTGATGAGAGCAACACATGGAGAGTGACATAGTGCCATGTGGCGTGAGGTGGGGGCGACAAGTGGAGGATGACATGGTACCACATGGTGCGAGGTGAGAGCAACACATGGAGAGTGACATAGTGCCATGTGGCGTGAGGTGGGGGTGACACGTGGAGGATGACATGGCACCACATGGTGTGAGGTGGGGCCCTATATGGAGGGTGACATGACGCCACGTGGTGTGAGGTGGGTGGCACGTGGCGTGTGGTGAGAGCAACACATAGAAAGTGACATGGTGCCACGTGGCATGAGGGGGGCAACACGTGGAGGATGACATGGCATCACGTGGTGTGAGGTGTGGCCCTATGTGGAGGGTGACATGGTGCCACGTGGTGTAAGGTGGGGCGCTATATGGACAGTGACATGGTACCATGTGTGTAAGTGGACCAATATTACTTTTCAGCGGCAACAAAAAAGTCACCGCTAATTGGTAGTTTCAGCGACAACAAATGTCGCCATTGATATGTAACATTTAGCGGTGACAAAATAGTCGCCTCTGATGTGTGGTTTGAGGCGATAAAATGTCGCCGTTGATTTTTAACTTTCAGTGGCAACTATCGTTTGGCTGTGACAAATTTTCTTTTCTGCAGTAACATTTGTTGTTGTCGATTCTCAACTTTCAGCGACAACTTTTATTGTCACCGCAAATTGAATCAACAATATGAGCTCTCGCAGAGACATTGTGGTGACTTTTTGTCAACATTAAAAACTTTCAGTGGTGACAAAAATTTTTTGTAGTGCATGTATCACCAAATTTGCAAATCATTTTACCCATAAGTGCAAACATTTTCTTTATTGTCGATAAAAATACAAACAATCCCCATAATCTTATCTCCCACAAAAATTAGACAATATCCCTTTACTTTTGAATGAATCTTTACCGAGATCAACTAATATTGTTTAAAAGTACGTGTTTAACAATACCAAATCTGTAAGACCTATTAATTTGGCACCTTTGGCATGAAGAATTAAATTGAAATTGTTAGAATACATCAAATTCTAAAATTTTGCACCATCATATTCTTTCATCAACTACAGATCACTTATAAGTACCTTGTAAAAATGAAATATTTTTGGAACCTCTTTTTGGCACCAGTTAAAAAGGAATAGGTGCTAAAAATGTGTACAGTAGCATTTTCATAATTAAATTAAAATTTGAAAAAAAGAA